TAAAACAGTGGTTTTAGCGTACATCATCGACGGCTCCAGAGCAATGATGAATTCTTGGTGTACGTGATGAATTATGCATTTGATTGCATACTTGGAATACCGTGGCTGTCACGGTATCAGCCGAAGATAGATTGGATATCTCGGTCTGTTAAACGACGAAGCGGATATGACGTCAGTGAAGTGTTCACTCGTTTGTTGGTCGCGTCATCCGATTGGCCTCACATCAGGATCGTGAACGAACTCGCCACGACTAGTAGTTAGCACCTAGAGAGCGATGGCCCTCTGTGTGCAGTATGTTCCGTTACACTGATGAGGCCACAGAACGAGGCGACCGAACAGCGGTTCTCGCATACAGATACATTGGTCGAGCAGGGGTCCCTGCATACACAGACTCCGGTCGAACAGGGGTTCCGATTCATATTGAGGCGATAGAACAGGGGCTCCCTCGTACAAACACATCGGCTGAGCAGAGGCTCCCGATCAATACCGAGTCGGTCAAGCAGAAGCTTCCGAGTGTACCCGAGGCGGACGAGAACGAGCTCCCTCCTCTAAGGGGCTCGGGACGCAAGAGAAAACGCAAGAAAGGAGGACGCCGATCACCGAGACGAACACATTCACGCCAAAATGTCGAGGCGGTTGAAGACAAGCTCCCGCCTCCAAGGGGCTCAAGACGCAAGAAAAAACGCAAGAAAGGAGCACGCCGATCACCGAGACGACGACATTCACGTCAAAATGCTGATGCAGATTATTCCGTAGTGACGGAATCTGTATTTGCGCTTGAATATGTAAAGGGGTCTCCACATCGTGGCCGCTACATTGAGGTAGCGAGCCCTCCCGTGCACTGCTGCAGAGATCACATCTCTGTCAGACCTTTCATGGAATATTTTTCTTCATGACCTCAAGGCAGACGACATCGAGCAAGTGTGCGTCGTTTCAACCGCCGAGCAGCCAGTGAAGAAGTTCTTGAGGCTTTCCCAAAGAGCGCCTAGCCTAAATCAGCGCGCGAAGAACGCTTCGCGGCATGCTCTTCGTGCTTCGGGCAACCCTGTCTACGATTTCGCCCGTGAGTACGCCGACATCTTTCCGGAGAAATTTCCCGCTGAGCTTCCAGCGGATCGTGGAGTGCGGCAAGAGATAGATCTCGTGCCAGGATCGAAGTATTGCGTGATGCAGAAGTGGACGTTACCTCGTGATCAAGCCATCGCTACTGATGAACTTTTGGAGGGTCGCCGTAAGGCTGGTCATGTCTGCGAGAGTATCTCGTCTCATTCGAGCCCGACTTTCTGTGTGAAGAAAGCTATCCGCGGTTGGTGCATTGTGCACGCTTTAAAAAAGCTGAATGACGCCACGATCCCGGATCAAACGCCTATTCCTCGAAAAGGCATGGTATTAAATACCATGTCCGGGAGCGAGATTTACAGCGCCATAGTTATGAAAGATCCTCATGAGAGACAGTGACATTCTGCTCACTGTGGTCATCACCCCAAGCGGAATGCTTTGGGAGTGTTTAGTCATGCCAAAAGGTCTTAAGAACGCTACAGGTACGTTCAATCAAATGGTGACACAAGTACTTCGTCCCACTTCGCGATTTTGCACCGAGCTACTTTGATGACATTTTTGTTCACAGCTGCGCTGAGCAAAATCTCAGCGCTACGGAGGTACACCTTCGACACTTGAAGTAGGTGTTTCAAGTTATGCGCGAGAATAAATTGTATGCAAATTTGAGAAATGTGTCTTCTGTGCCCCCGAGATCCCAGTACTCGGATGCTACGTCAGCAAGAAAGATGTCCGCACTGATCCTGAGAAGATCTCATCGGTCTGTTCCTAGCCAACGCCCAGGACCGAAGCTGAATTACGCCAGTGGATCGGTCTGGCGAATTACTTGCATAAGAATACGAAGAATTATGCTGAGTTAATCCATCCATTATTGACTTTGCTTTAGAAACGCAGAACATCAATCTGCCTTCGACTCCGTGGAAAGGACTTGTCCGAGGCGCCACTGCTGATGTTACCTGACGACTCCAAGCCATTCCATGTCGCACGTGACGCGAGAAATTTCGCTTTAGAATGTGACCTCATGCAATTTTATGACGAGGGTCTAGAGCGCGTCGTGAGTTTTCAATCACGACAGATGAAACCCGCAAAGAAAAAATATCCGGTACACGACAAGGAGATTTTGGCTATGAGTTACGCGCTAATCAAGCTCAGAGTATATTTGCTCGGAAGAAGATGTGTTTAATCTATACAGATCACGCCTCATTGCGTACCGACGTCAAGAGTCCTCACTTGTCTCAGCGTATGGCACGGTGGTTGTCATTTGTTGCCGAGTATAATTTTGTGGTACATTACAAGACTTGCAAGAACATCATTCTCGCTGACGCGCTTTCTCGTCGTCCTGATTACGATCCTCGGCGGGACATGTGTCATCAAACAGAGAATGTTGATGACGACGTCGACATCTGAGCGTGTTGTATTGAGCTAGGACTCAATTCTACGATCTCAACACCTGTGCTGCCGATTCGAACTCAGATCTGAATTTTACGCTAATGATTCCTTCTATGCGGGAATCATTAACTATCGTATCACCCCAGTGAGGGTTCACTCGCGAAGTTGACGAAACCAACACGCAATGACATCAAGCGTTACGCTCTTGACGGTCCGTTGCTGACGTACACGATGGACGTCTTTGGTTCACCGCGTTTCGTCATCCCTGCTGATGACGGTTTTCGAGTCCTATTGGCTCACGAATTTCACGACAGTTCGGCTGGTGGTCACCTGAGTCGCGAAAAAGACGTTTATGGCTATTTCTCGTGTGTTTTATGACCGCGAATTTAACGGCGTTACATGATGCTGAGATAGTTATATTCATAATCATGTTGTGGATGTAATATTACGAATATTGCATATGTATTCTTGATACTTCTCTTTAAGGAGGTATTAAGTATAAGCGTTATGATACGGTATTCGGTAATACCGTATCATATCGATTAGGATTCGAAGATCGGTATGGAGTGTACTAAGTACATTACACACAGATGTTTGGACGACACGTCGTGTAATAGAAAAGTCTGCATATTATTGTTACTATTATAGCAGTTAATTTAGTGTATGGCACTTAGGATAGGGTTATTCCTAAATATCTTAGTGCATAAAAAAATCAGTTCGCATGTTGAATTTTAGAAGCAAGGTCTTTACAAGACTTGTTTTCTAGTGCACCTCGTACGTACGGTTCTGTGACCCGTAAGCTTACTAAGCTTGTGAGTGTAAGCTCGTAGACTGAAGAAGTCTCTAGGACGGGTAAACTTCGTAGTCGTTGAACTAGTTACATAGAACTAAGTGGATTGTAACCGTAACTCGATTTAGTTTTTTAGAACTAAGAGGCTACATCCTTTAAGGTCTTCCTCTGACTGAAGAGCTGTGTAGCACCGCTACAGCGAATGTATAAGTACATTTAGAAGTGTGTGCGCTTCTGAGAAAACTTCCATCCTGTGAAGCCCGCGCCGTCTTCACAAGCCCCATTGCGTCCGTTTCCGATTGCTACGGAAGACTGACGTTCAGTCAGCATGGATTTTATCTTCGGACTTCCACCGGATGAACAGAAACGCACGGGCGTATTGGTTCTAGTGGATTGATTCAGCAAAATGGTGCATTTTGCTCCGGTCTCCACCCACGTTACGGCGGAGACGACAGCAAAGAGTTTTATTGATCTTATGTTTAGACGTCATGGCTTTCCTGAGTCTATTGTTTCCCGTGTTTCTCTTCGGCTTTCTGGGACGAATTATTTCAGCTACTATGCACGCGATTGTTTATGTCTACGGCGTCCCATTTAAAGACGGATGGGCAAGCGGATCGCGTGAACCGAGTGTTCGAAGATGTCTTGTGCAGTTATGCAACATTGTTCTCGTCATGGAGTTTGTTTCTTCCACTTGGAGAGTTTGCAATCAACAATGCTGCACATGCGTCAACAGGATTGAAGTCCTTCTTCGCGAACAGTGCGAGGCATCCTCGCGTTCCGGCGATTTTTTTAACTCTCATCTTTAGAACAATTAGCCTCAACGCTTGGTGGAGGAGTATCTACCAATGACATTGCGCCGAAACTATTGATGATTGATTACGATGAAGATAAGGTTGATGCCGATGCGACTTATGCTATTAGTTTTGTGTCAAATGGAATATCTACTCCGGACGCGATGCATTCGATTATGTCTCCCGTTGCTAATGTTTCCTCTTAAAATCATACGCCGCCTGTGTTTGGCTGCAGTAACCGAACTTCTTCTATTACGACGTTGTAGCGGATCTGCACAGCTCTTTAGCCAGAGGAAGACTTTTAGGCTGAAAGCCTCTTAGTTTTAGAGAGCTAAATAAATTTACGGCTAAAAGCCACTTAGTTCTAAGGAACTAGGAGAGAGACTTTTAGTCTGCAAGCTATAAGCTTAAGGCTCAGAGAACCAACGCACAGAGTGCAAGAACAAGCTAGAAGCTTAGAGGTTCAGAGAACCAACGCACGAAGTGCACAAGAGAACAAGTCAGAACGACTTGAGATCTTTAACTCAAAATGAGAACTGATTTTACTTATGCATTAAGATTGTATAAATAGTCCTACTCTAAGTATCCTACACTAGATTAATTACTATAATAGTAGTTATTATATGCAGACGTTTCTATTGGACGACGTATCGTCTAAACATCTGTGTATGATGTACTTCGTACAGCGTTATCGATTATCGAATCCTAATCGATAAGATACGGTATTACCGAATACCGTATCTTAACGCTCATACTTAATACCTCTCTAAAGAGAAGTATCAAAATGCATTATATGCAAAAAAAGGGAAACTTTAACCGTAAACTTTCGGAATGATGTTACAATCGTCGTGTAACCCCGTTACACTCTCCCCCACCAGACCGACGTTCCCATAGAATTTCATTCAACATCTTTCTTCTTTGAGGTAGTGCTTTAGTAAACGTTTAAACCTTACGGTTTGCTCACGGCACCTAACATGACGTCTCCTGGCAATGAGTCACAGACTCTACGGGACCTCATTGAAGGCGACCTTGACGAAGCGGTTGATTACGAAAGTGACACCGTCTTTGTGGGACCCGATGGGTCCCCCTTGACCACACTTACGGGTGAAGATGACAGTAGTCATGCACCGAATCCGTTCCCTGAACATGGTGCTGCAGATGCGCTAACAGCGTTACTTGACCCGCCTGACGTATCGTCAACGGCGACGGTTACTGACCCACTCGACAAAAAACAGCAGCAGACCATTGATAAAGAGGAAGGCGCCAAGCGCCGGACGAAGAATATGGCTAGGCTTCAGGGCCAGGTTCAAGCCACCTACAGTGGAAGAACGCCTTTAAGGAAGCATCTGGAAATTCCCTTTCTGGCTGGGCCATTGGGCTTGAGGCCATTTCACCCGAGGATATCGCTACGCGATCGGCTCTTTGACAACGCTATCTGGAACCCCATATCACTACGCAAAGCCAATACTTGGCACGCCTCACTAGGCAAGTGCGCGGTGCACCAATTCCTATCATAAAGGGTGTTCCCATCCTTCTATTCGCGGGAGTAACCGAAGAGAAAGAAGATGCGGCTTTTAGCCGCTGGGCGCATTATGCGCGACGTTCAAGCACTGGCTCTACGGGCAAGTGCCGACGTGGCAGATGTTCGTCTCGAACGGAAAATGCGTTACGATTACGCTAAGCTGAAGGCCCGAAGAAAGTTGAAGTCTCAACGAACGCAATATACGCCTGCTACCCATCACTCCGATGTTTCGGCTACTCCTGTAGCCGCGAGTTCACGACAGGCCGAGGCCGTGAGCTCGCTCGACCTCACCACTTCGGGTTGGAAACACCATCGCCAACAGGTTAGCCCTGCGCACGACGTTCAAAAACGTCCACGGCGTACGGGCAATCCTGCCGTAGGGGAACCTCGAACTCCCATGAGTTCCAAGACTCGGAATATCCCCACCACTTCACCAGATACTGGTTTTGACCATGGCGGCGACGTTTCTACAGTAGACGTTCAACATGGAACGGAAGGTTCCCCTGTTCATCAAGCAATGCCGGAGAGGGGCCGGTGTACCGGCACAAGTTCATGCCGAGCTACTTCAAGAGGTGAAGTATCTCCGTGATACTGTGCAGACGATAATTCCCGCCTCGAGTCGCTGGAACAGAGTCGAACCCGAGTGGAGGGTCAGCTTGACCTTTTGGTGCATATGATGCGTCCCGCGGCAATGCCGATGAGCTCAGCGCGAGCGCCTTAGTGTTCACTTGGGACGGATCCTGATATGGCTTGAGCGTAACACGTGGTGTGTACGCAATTTGTGCGGCAAATTAAGCGTATACGCTAAGCCTTTCTTGGCCACGACCATAAAGGGACCGATGAAGCGCGGACGCAGCTTTGTCTTAAAGACAGCAGACATTACATTGGTAGGTAGGTTTGTAGCATTAAGTAAGACTTGGTATCCGACCTCATAATAATCAATACAACTTCTGCCTTTTTAGCATCAGCATTTTCCTTCTGTTTGAGTTGGCTATCAGCCATTGCGTCACGCACATGTCGTAAGACATTCTGTCGCGTTGCGAGAAACGCGTTCACCTGTTTCTTAACAGTAACAGGACTGAGATCAGCAAGCCGATCGGCAACCTCTCCCCCACCAAGCCCTGAACCACTCGGTGGTAGCATTAGCGGAACGCGTGGGTGTGTGAGGCCATTTACATAGATTGGAGTGCAGCCGGTAGAGGCGTGCACGGAGTTATTGAGTGCAAACTCAACAACAGGCAGCATAGAGCTCCATCGCTTAAACTTTTCAGCACAAACAACAACGCGATTTATGCGTTCAGTTTGACCATCGGTCTGCGTATGATCCGCTGTGGAAATTTTTAATCAGGTGCCTAGCACCTGAAAGACGGACTTCCAAAATTTAACAGTAAAACGAGGATCACGGTCCGAAACAATTGCCACTGGCAAGCCATGTTGGCGAAACACTCGATCGATAAACAGCTCCGCTGTACCCACACCATCGATCGAATCTGGCACAGCCGCTAAGTGAGTCATCTTGCTCAAACGGTCAACAAAGACTACAATGCCTGTATTGCCATGCGAATCTTTCGGTAGGCCAAACATAAAGTACATACTCATGGACTCCCAGCACCCAGTGGGAATAGGCAAGCTATCCAGCGGCGCTGCGGAATGGGGTGAGGGTTTCACCCGTTGACACGTTTCACACGTACGCACATATGTGCTCACCCATTTATATAATTGGTCCACCAATAATTTTGGCATACTGCCACATAGGTCTTTTCACGACCCAAATGACCCCCAATCGGTGTCATATACCTCATAGAGGATACGGTACTTCAGGTCCTCGTCATGAGGAACCACAATACGCAGAGGATCCGCCACATCTGTACAATAGTACAACAAACCCTGATCGATAGAATATCGATGAAGGCTTGCACGTAATCGTGCCGACAATTTAATGTCCGAGTCTTTAAACTCATCACTGCCAAGAGCATGTAGCAACGCTATACAATGATCATCTTTAGCATACGCCGATCGAATGAGATCAATGATAGAAGCCGACAGTGTCGTAACATGAGCAAGCTCATAGTCAGGTCTGGTCAAGTCTGCGTGACAACGCATCAGCCAAAGCATTTTGCTTGCCCGGCATATATTTCACCTCAAAGTTATATTCGACAATGAACGACAGCCATCTGGCCATTCTCTGCGAAAGATGCGGCGACTGAGTCGCAGTGCGTAAAGACGCATGATCGTTATAGATCACAAAAGGCTTCAAGCCCAGCAGATGAACTCTGAATTTGACTAGAGCATACTTCATCGCAAGTAGCTTTTTGTCATGAACTGGATAGTTTTTTTCTGCAGCTTTCAGCTGGCGAGATTCAAAAGCGATCACAAGCTCACGAACTTCATCATCTGTTTTTAACAGAGCACTGCCAATGGCAAAATCCGACGCGTCACAGACGACGCTAAACGGTCGGTCAAGATCAGTCAAAGCCAAAATGGGAGCATGAAGAAGGCTAGTCTTCACCGTTTGAAAAGCATCCTCATGTTCGGAATGCCAACACCATTACTACATCCTTTTTAAGAAGATTAGATAATGGCCTAGCCATATCAGCGTAATTCTCGCTGTACTTATGTAAGTAATTGGCAAGGCCAAGCCATTTACGCAAGTCCTTCTGAGACTGTGGAACAGGCCAATCGACTATGGCTTTGACCTTGGCGGGATCCGCTCTGAGGCCTCGCTTCCCAATGAAGAACCCTACAAAGGGAATCTCTTCGGCCTCGAAGATGCACTTAGGTGCATTATCATATAGCTTATTAGTGCGCATGCACTCGAGCACAGCTCGTAAATGAACAATATGGTTCTCGGTGTCATACCGCCCATGTTCAGCACGACTATGGACAAAAATGTCATCAAAGTACGTCTGTGCATAACTTCGATGGGGTCGAAATAATTGCGTCACCAAACGGTTAAACGTAGCCGGAGCATTCGATAGCCCTTGGGGCATCACCAACCACTCCCAGAGCATACCGCTCGAGTACTAACAGCAGTAAGCGGAATATCGCTAGCTGCATAAGCAATTGGTAATAACCATCGACTAAGAGGAGCGCACTGTGCATGGTACAACCGACCATATTGTTCTGAAGAACATCCTTTCTGGGTATAGGCGTCTGTGCAGGTATAGTGTCCACATTGAGCTAATTATAAGCATGTACGATACGCCACTTACCATTCGGTTTCTTAACACAGAAAGTGGATGTCGAGTGCGGAGATTTGCTCTCGCGTACCATACCCGCTGTGTGCTTTGCACGAAAGAACTCGTCAATGATGTCACACTGTTCTTTAAGTAAAGTTCACTGCCGTGTTACGCAGTATTTGGTTCCAGGAACCAAGTCAATTTCATGACGTACACCCCTATCAGGGGGCAGAATCGACGGTGGATCATAGCAGACCACGTCCTTAAATTCCTTAACTAAGGGGTAGTAAGGATCTGAATGATTCTTCAAAATAGATGATCCACTACGTGCACTAAGTGCCGCCTTTGTATCTTCAAGAACTGTCTCATCGACAAGCGAGGATGAGTTCAACTCGAGGTCAGATCGAATGACCACCATATCGGATAGATCACCAGACTTCAAGGCTTGATGAAACTCATCCACAGACATTTCGTCTAGCTCTAAGAGAGCATTTAATGATGGGAGGGCCTCAAGGTCAACCTCACCATCTACATCACCTGTCACTCCGTTGACCAGGGTGTACAACTGGTCATTGACATTACTATGCGATAAAACAGACGCTTTGCGTCTCGCAGCCGCCATCTGGCGACGCTGCCGTCTCCTTGACGAGACCTTACCTCTTAAAGTACTTGGGATACCATCATCGCCAAGGTTGATAAATTCCTTTACCTTAACCTGCTTTATACGAGAGCCGATATCACTACCGACATCCAGTGAGCCACCGTCACATGTTACATCACTAACAAGGTATTCGACCTTAACTTGCTCTATACGATAGCCGATGTCATTACCGACATCCAGTGTCTCAATATTACTATAAGTTCACTCAACGGAGTACGTGCCGTTTCACTAAGTGTCACTGAGCTTTGCTCGACACTAATATTGTTGACATTGGAGTTTGTCAACTCAGACACTCCAATGTCCATCACACTAACTGACTCAGTTAATGGCTCGCGCCAATAGCACTTCTATTTTCTAGCGAAGGTGGGTTCATGACTTCCAAAGCTTCGCTAGGAACATTGCGCGTTGCGCCTAAGGTTTTGGATCTCCAATCGATCGATGGCTCATGGCGTTCCATCCAGGCCATACCGAGAATGAGATCATCTTCTAAGTCCAAATCTAGGACAAGACAGCGTTCAACGCTATTGAAGTCTAAGAACTTTACACTTAAGTTCAACGGAACTTTAGGAACGGTGACACGTACACCTGTCGCGAGGCGTACGGTTATACTGTCACCCTCTTGCGCTTTAAGCGCCTCAGCATATAGCTGACTCCCTTCAAGGGAACAACGCCGGACATAATTACCCGAAGCCCCTGAATCAACTAAAATTGACCATGGTTTCTCAAAACCCTTAACGGTTGCCGACACAATTAACAAGCCTGGATTGTATTCCTATTCCATGGAAGCCTCCACAGAACCACCTGGGGCTAATCCCTGTTTACCTTTACCTCCTAAAGATTCAACAAAACTAAGTTCTTTCCCAGTAGGTCGTCCCGCGCCTACTGGGAGCTGACGTTTTTCCCTGCCGTGCTTGCCTTTTAGCTAGGAGCAGGGTTCCGACTCTGCCGATTTGAACGTTGCTTTCGCAGCGGACAGCTAGGGCGGGGATGCCTAGTACTTCCGCACATATAACATCTACGGATGTTACCTTGCTGCTCAGCAGCTTGAAGCTCAGCTTCTTCAGCACGGCTGAGGTGATGGGTTCCGCCCTGTTAGAAGCATTTGAATTATACCATGGCAGACCAAAGCAAGCAGATTTGAACTTAAATTCAGCGTTAAACGCTATGCTCACTACCTCTTCGAAAGTCGAAGGCTGGACACGAAAAACCTCTGTCCTGGCGACCCCAGTACGAATTCCTTCCATAAAAATGGTTACTCGGACTTCCTCTGCCAGAGGGTCCTGCTGCATAGCGGCAATGAAAGTTTCAACTCTTGGACATAGTCCGACAATTCTTTCTTACCCTTTCGGGTAGCTAAGAAGCGTGAGCGCACACGATAAGCCTGATTAGGCGGTGCAAACACGAAAGTCAATTGCTTTTTAAGCATTTCCCATGTGGGAAATGCGGCATTTACAGAGACATCGCTCGTTAGAGCCCACTCTCTAGCTCTTCCACCGAGCTTAGAAATGGCCAAGCCAACTCGTTGCATATCTGACACAAGCATGGCGGCATCCATTGCCATTTCAACTTCTCGGATACAGAGGAAAAGATTTTCTCCCTCCTTCTCCTCAAAGATCTTTACGTTTAAAACGAGTGGACGAGCCCTTGGCTCTGCATCGGGCACAGGTACCGGGATATACTGTGTGGGCGCAGCAGACGCTGCCTGTTCGTTGACCTGCTCGAGTAGCGTTGCCTCATAACGCATGAAGGCCTCAAGGCGAGCACTAAGGACCTCCGGGCCTTGGGCCAAAAGGGCCTCGATTTGGTCGGGCCCAACGAACGCAGATAATTTGTCTAGTGCGAGTCGTTGCGCCTCAGAGAGGTGGTTTTAAATCTACATCTTTACAGAGGGTCAGTCTTAAAGACTCAGGTGTAGGATTGACTACAAGTGCGACCTAGTGTAGCGAAGCGGAGCTGCACAGCTCTTTAGCCAGAGGAAGACTTTTAGGCTGAAAGCCTCTTAGTTTTAGAGAGCTAAATAAATTTACGGCTAAAAGCCACTTAGTTCTAAGGAACTAGGAGAGAGACTTTTAGTCTGCAAGCTATAAGCTTAAGGCTCAGAGAACCAACGCACAGAGTACAAGAACAAGCTAGAAGCTTAGAGATTTAGAGAACCAACGCACGAAGTGCACAAGAGAACAAGTCAGAACGACTTGAGATCTTTAACTCAAAATGAGAACTGATTTTACTTATGCATTAAGATTGTATAAATAGTCCTACTCTAAGTATCCTACACTAGATTAATTACTATAATAGTAGTTATTATATGCAGACGTTTCTATTGGACGACGTATCGTCTAAACATCTGTGTATGATGTACTTCGTACAGCGTTATCGATTATCGAATCCTAATCGATAAGATACGGTATTACCGAATACCGTATCTTAACGCTCATACTTAATACCTCTCTAAAGAGAAGTATCAAAATGCATTATATGCAAAAAAAGGGAAACTTTAACCGTAAACTTTCGGAATGATGTTACAACCGTCATGTGACCCCGTTACAGACATAAGATCACGCGTTTTTCGTGATGCACTACAAGAGTCAGTTGACAAGCAAAAATGAGAATACATGCGGAAGAGATCGGAAGAATTTGTTGTCATTCCTAGTATCCTATTTTTAACAAGCGGATTACTAAACACTTCAGTGACGAATTTAAGCGCTGCTAAGTTTGCACCAAGATATATTGGCCCGTTTCGGGTGTCTAAAAACGATTGTGATGCTTAAACACTAAATATATCTACATCTATGCGTATGCACTCGACGTTCTATGTTAGGCGCCTCAAGGCCTACCTACCGGCGGATCCTCCCTTCGAATCTTTCCCGCTCTTCTGTGCCGGCTCGAAGTCCGACATTCCTTGACGACGACTCTGACTACGACTGGGACCGATTCCCACCCGAGCGCGTGCAGACTCGGTCTGCTGGGGTCATCCAAACGCAGTTGTCTTAAGCTGAAGTAGGCGATCAACCAGCATCCGCTGCTCCCATCGAGTCTGCTCAGCAGCCTTAGTTGCAGCATCTGCACGATCTCGAGCTCTCTCAGCCATCTCGCAAGCACCAAGTAGGGCTTTTTTCGACTCTTTGGCTTCAGCGTGAAGAAGGCGCATCTCGTCGTTCGACTGTACAGGCGCCCTATTGTAAGAAACATCGCTCATCGCCAGAGGTCTTCCGTCATGATGCTTCTCCTACGTGATTGATGCATCGAATGCGCGCCGTTGCATTGTTGACCATATCGTCTATTAGAAAGATAGTAAGTTTCATACGTCGAGTAGTGACTCGGCTCCAACGAAGAACATGTAGAGACACATTACAGAGTTCGCTGGTTCAAATATTCGCCGGCGGACGATATATGGGAGTCATCGAGTCAGGGTGTCCCAGACGTAGTCGAGGATTATTAGTCGCGTATAAGAACGGCGATCGCGATCGATGCTGCCATTTCCAACCCCGATCTCGCGAGTCATGATGCTCGTGAGAAACAGAGTTGTGAAGACGAGTTTTCGATCGATTCCGAAATTTATTACGAGGCTCGGGAATCATGGTTGTTATTGCAATTATTTACGACTACGTGAAATGCCATAGCGAATTAAATATAACGCACTTGGGGATCGAACCAGCAACATCCCGATCAAGGATCCAGTGATAAGCCACTGCACCAACTGAATGATAACGAGTTAAAAGCTTCGTTAGGACTTCAAAAAAATTAAATGATTAACGCCACTAAATTTGTATAGCGTCCACGGTATCATGTCCTCGTCAGTGACTCTCAACGCGTGCTGTCTGCGGATCGTAAGTTTGTTGTCGTCACGGAAATTCTTGCGCGCGCGGCCAGGGTCATGTGCACAGTTGTGTGTCACTGAGCAAGTTTGAGGTTGTGTCGCAAAATATTCGGTGAAAAGGATCACTTTATGTAATGTACTTACGTCGTAATTAGCACAAATAAAGAAGAAGTAAAGTAAAAGAGCATATTTGCACATAGTTGATAAAAAAAATTCATCATTTTATAAGGAGGCATAGGGCAGTATCCGATTAGCGGATACTGCACGTCATTTTTATTATTGTTTTACTATTGGGGTGCCAGACCCAACTCTTAAATCAATAATAAATTGACTTCCATATTGAGTGGTTCTCATGAATTAGGGAACATATTCGCACTTGCTGCAAATTAAAAAATAAGCAAAAATAAAACAGTCTTATCTTTACGAGTTAATTTGGAGCGCTTCCTCAATGCCCTTTAGTGTAAGACGGCAGAGAGCACTTATCCCGTTACATAACGGGGATATAGCTCCGTTACCTACATACACTATAGGTCTTACAAGGAAGTGTAAGGGAGCGCGCAACACCTAGCGCGCTTAAGGTGTATTTCAACTCTATTTTATATATATTTGTTTTATACTAAATAGGAGTGGTCCCTAAACGCATGGGAACCACTCAACTACATGTTTTCTACTCTTATTGGCTAAAAAATGAGACTGATTCTCACTTACCTGCGAATAAAGACACGAATGGGTACAACCGCCATCTCATTATAGTGAAAGGTACCTAGGATAGATGATATTTTATCGTATCTTAAAACATAAATAATCTTGTAGAGAACATGTCAGACTACAGTAGGCTTCGTACTCTAGAGAACGTTGTACGTCGAGCCGTTAAGTTTCTAGCTTGTTTGACTAAAGAGTCTCTTCCTAGTTCTTTTGAACGCGTCGACCCATTTAATCGTGGTCACAAGCATTTGGAACTTATAAGATATTCATCTTGTAAAGTAGAAGCCCTGTCTAGTTATTCGAAACAGGAAGGATAATTTAGTCGTTTACTTAGTTCCATTAGTCGAGTGGCTTTAGCCAATAATTCTTTCTCTTATCTATGAAACCTATGTAGCACTTCTACTCTGGGTAGCACTCGTAGTCAATCCTACACCGGAGGCTTAACAACTGACCCTCTATGAACCTCTTTAAGGATGAAGAGTCTTGACACCTTACTGAGGCGCAACGGCTCGAGCTGAATAAGCTTACAGCGTTGGCTGGGGTCGAACAGATGGACCAAATTATGACCCAAGGCCTAGAGTACTCAATGCATGCCATGAGGCCTTTTTGCACTTTGAAGCAACGCTGATTAGGACGAGTACATGACCATGTAGCGTCGGCTATGCCAACACGCTACATCCAGTGTTTGATAAAGAGACAAAGGCTCGACCGCTTGTTTAATAGTTCAAATTTTCGAGGGACAAGAGGATAAACCTCCTTCTCCGTATCCGGGAGATTGAATTGGCGATAAACGCACGTATGCTTAGGTCTGAACTTCAATGTTTTAAAATATCTATTTTCAAACTCGGTGCCTATGCAGAAGAATGAGCACTGACGTGCGATGCGCATGTAGATGCCGCGTTTCCAACGTAAACTCGGAAAGCGACAAAGGTCCCGCATATTTGCACCGCCTGTACAGGCATAATGCGTGCATTTACGCTTTTTAACTTCACGGCAAGGGAAGAAAAAATTATTGGACTATTTTTAAGAGCTTAGATTTCTCCTTGCTGTTATGAAGAAGGACTTTCTTAAATGAGAGGCCAAGTAAATCATTGAAAATGAGAAAGACTCCACACTGGGGTTGCCAAGACGGACGACCTCATGATACCCATGGGTATTTTCAAGATCTCGTGAAAAGCCCGAGCCCATGGACCTCAGTTATGCTGAGGGCGAAGAAGCTAAACTTAAACCTGTAGAGCAGCAATGTAACATCCGTAGATGTTACATGCATCTACGGATGTTACGTTGCTGCTCTACAGCTTGAAGTGCGGAAGCACGAGACGCCTCTTCCTAAGTGTGTCCGCTGCGAGACAACGTCAATACCAGCAAAGCCGTAACACCGTTACAAGCCAAAAGTCCCGTGTGGTAGGAACCCGCAGACTCCCAGTAGGCGCGGAGTATTCAACTGGAAGGAATGGAGCCCCGAGTACTCAGTGGCAAACTTGGGCTAGGAGCCCAAGTTTGCCATTCACACCCACTTCAATGCCACCACCATGCGTGATGAGTCGAGACTGATTATTACTCATTCTTATCGTTGCTGGAGTGAAGCGACCACTCCGAGCCTTGTTGGATTATGGCTCTTTTAACAACTTCTTTCGTGCATCCTGTTTGTCCCTTCTCCCGTCCACTATCACGGTTTGAGAAGGTCCAGGTGACATCGTTGTCAAACTTGCCGATGGACAACCAAAACGTGTTCCACGTAAAACAGTGGTTTTAGCGTACATCATCGACGGCTCCAGAGCAATGATGAATTCTTGGTTTACGTGATGAATTATGCATTTGATTGCATACTTGGAATACCGTGGCTGTCACGGTATCAGCCGAACATATATTGGATATCTCGGTCTGTTAAACAACGAAGCGGATATGACGTCAGTGAAGTGCTCACTCATTTGGCGATCGCGTTATCCATTTCGCCTCTTTTTCAGGGTCGCCCCGACTAGTAGTCAACAGAGAGAGATCGATGGCCCTTTGTGCGCGGTATGTTCCGTTACACTGATGGAGCCAATAAACGAGTCGGTCGAACCAGCGATTCCCGCATACGCGGACATCGGTCGAACAGAAGCTTCCGAGTGTAGCTGAGGCGGTCGAGGACAAGCTCCCGCATACTGCTGAGGCTGTCGACGACGAGCTCTCACCTCTAATGGACGAGAATGAGCGGACACTGTATCCGCATGAGACTG